ACGTGGACGGTGTCGGTGGAGGAAAACCTCGACCTTCTTTTAAAGAGTCACTTAAAGACCTCATAAAAACATTCAAATCCATAGGCCTAACATCCTTTATGCTTAAGGTAGCGGAACAACATTATCTCGAAGAACCAGCACGTCTATATGACAGGCAGGTCAACAGCGATAGCGCTGCACATGGTAGTATCACATTTTGAGAGATTTATCTCGGTCAAAGAATCCAGCCAAATGGTCAGATGCAGGGTCGTAAGATCTGAGATCGCGGTTGTGTCGACGCTTAGGTATGTCAACATAGGAACTCCACAGGGTGGAGGCCTCTCGCCCCTTCTATGGGTCTTGGCATTGAACCAACTGCTGAGATACATGGAGGATTAAATGGGCTGCAAGGTCATTAAGTGTGCGGACGATCTGGCGGTTATAGTGAATGGCGAATTCCACCAAACCTTGTGGGACATTATGCAGAGCGGACTTAGGCGAATAGGAAAGTGGGCTCTTGGTGCTGTACTGAACATCAACCCACAGAAAACTGAGCTTGTCCACTTCACCTGTAAGTATAAAATTCATAAGTTTTCAGTACCAAAGCTCTCAGGAACGGATTTGCGCATTGCTGAGTCTGAAAAATACTTTTCTATGTGGTTATTAAAAAATCAACTACCTCCAAGTTCGATGGAGTACAGAGGGCAGTACTCCTATGCATCCGCAAAGCACCTCGTAACACACCAAAAGACGCTGTGGATGTTCTCTTAGAGGTACTCCCCATTGACACAATGGGGTTGCACAATGCTAATAAGACATGGGCATACTAATATCCGTCTACCAGACATAGTTTAAGCATCGCCTCAATTAATTTATTTACGGATGGATCAAAACTAGATAACGGGGTCGATGGCAGAGTCTACTTAAAGGATTTTGGTATCTTTAAATCATTTCGCTTGATGGATCCCTGTAGTGCTTTTTAAGTAGAAGTAGTTATCCATGAGGCTGTCATTTGTCTGAGCTCATTGGTGCTCTCGGATAATCGTATTCATATTTTCGGATATCCAGGTTCTTGATTATCACTTAACGTGATGGCTAAGCAATCCTTCCTCAACATGGTATGTGTACCTGGACTCAGTAACATACCGGATAATGAGATGATGAATGAGCTTGCAAGGAACGGTACTTCTCTTCCACTTCCGGCATTATGAAAGAGTTTGGTCATGCCGCTCTGCACGTGTTAGCTCAATATAAATGAGTTATTCATTACAGATGAATAACTTAAGATGGAGAAGTCTCAATGCAAGTAAATTGGCCTAGACAATATAATAAGAATGGAATAAAAGAAGGTCACATGACCTTATCGAGCTAAAAAAAGGAAATGTCTACAGTTATAGGTCTTATAACGAGACGATTTCTGCTTAAGTTGCAGACGGGAAGAAGTACCGGAGGCCTTAACGTACATTATCTGTAATTGTCCCGCTTTTTGGAGGAATAGGTTTAAGTCACTAGGGCCGGCGAAGACTGCTCAGCTTTGCAAACTGCACTCACTGAAGCGATCAGCGGGTGAGGGTCATTAGGATCCTCCGTAGCCTAGGTTTAGCTGATACCAGGCAGTCTCCAACCAATTCACGAATTCAGAGATTCTGATATATTGTAAGCTCATTTTTTATACATTCGAACTCAATAATTGTATCTCAGCTTCTGTATAACTTAAAAACTCAATACGGCCTTCTTCTTTTCATCGAATTTAAGAACAGAAATAGATACATTGCCCGAACTTATATCGGGTTTATCTGTGTGACGGCTACTACTACTACTTCAAAACTTCGAAGATGAAGATAATTTCGTCTGTCTAGGGACCAGCATTAGCACATGAAATTCAAATCATTCTTGCCTACAGGTGTTACTTTGGACTAAGTGGGCAATTCTAAAGTAAAGTCCTGTCTCTTCTCTATTGAATGAAGGCCAAAGGAAGTCGGTTAATAAACGACCATAATGCTCCAAATTGGTAGTGACAGTCTCGCCGTTGTCGATCTCAAAGATGTAAGCTCCAATCACACCTCCAGATTCGGATCGAGAATTAGAGCTGTAGACTCGAAGTGCTTAAGAGAGCAGTTGGGAATACAACTCTAATTCGCAGGAAAATATTTCAGTGGAATTTGGGCTCTATTTCATTATTAAATGGTTTAAGATATCTTGCTAACTAAATGACTTTCTCACTTTAATTTTGGTTTGTGATCGTTATACAGAAATCAAAATATGTATATGTTTCTCAATGTGTCACCATGATCGAATGGCAAACACGCTTTAATTTTTTTTTAAAGGTGCGGCTGCGGAGTCGACTGTATAATTTTTCTCATTCGCTTTGACTTAACAAATATTTTATCCTCGAAGAAGGATAATTTTTGGTGAAATTCCCTAATAACATTCTTTTGTAAAAATGTTGTTGTTCCTTTGGATATTTCAAAAATGTTTATTGTAATAAACAATTAATTTGCCAACTTAAGTAACTTCAAAAAACTTAATAAATTACGGTATTTTTCAGAGTTTTGAAGAAAATCGTAATATAATGTTGACATAGCATTAAAAACTATTTGAGAATACTTCTATCTCAAAATTTCTATATTCATATATTGTACCATTAATGTGGATGGTCAATCGGCCATAAAGTAAAGCACGACGTCAGCTGTGGTCGCATTATGTAAAGAAACAATTCAAGTACCGATTGAAAACAAAAACATTTACTGGATGCAAGGTTACACGGACACTGAGGGTAATGAGATAGCTGACGATCCTGCTCAAAAGGGTGTCCATTCAGAACTAGATGCAGCGTCGAACCTTCGAATTCCATTCAAGAAAGTGAAATAGAAGCAAGGTAATACTACTTCGTTAGGCGAATAGACTCTGAGAGCGAGCTAAGGGCTGCAAAGTGGCGAAGACGTATAAAACATACAATACTGAACTCACAAAGTTTGTACTATTAACGGCGCATTGCCTTCTGACGGCTCATTCGTTTAAGATAGGTCCGACTGCTTGGTCGCATGAAGTGAACCTGGCAACACTATGGATACCTGAAATCTGCCTACATATCTAACGGAGGAAGATGCTTGGAGCTTAATTTTTAACTTAATTCATAAGCGGCGTTATCACTAGCCCATTTTAGGCAAATTAAATTTCGTCTATGTGAGACCCATTGGTTGAGCCAGCCTAACCTAACCTAACCTACCATTAAATAACGTATTCAATGCTTTATTAAAGTAAAATTTATTCCCTTCTTTGTGATTTGATATTCTATAAGGAATTACAGGGGGACTGCAAAGTTTATGTTCTATCGTCAACATTTTCGAAGCTATAATAAAAGATCAATTAGCCCATTTTGTGTCATCAATTATTGACATCACAGATCATGGGTTTTGGTAAGACAACTACTCCATCGAGCCTGACTGAATTCACAACCTATGTCAGTATCAGTTTCAAAATGGTTTTCAAATAATATGTCATCCCCACTGACTTCAGCAAAGCATTTGACAAGGTCTTTACTTCACTTTAATCTCCATCTTTTAGTGTCCTGATTCCTTTCTCAAGTGGATTTCATCGTACTTTAGTGGTAGAAAGCAAAAAGTAATTCTTAAATGTTGTACGTCAGGTGAAACATCAGTAACATCTGGTGTTTCCCAAGGCACTCGATCCCTTACTCTTCCTTATAGTCACCAATGGTTTTGGAAATGTGGTTCTTCATTTTAAAGCACTCATGTACGTAGATGATATAAAGCTCTTTAAATCAGTTCATTTTATTGAAAATAGAAAAATTTTGCAATTTGATCTAAATAATTTGGGCAAATGGTGTGATGTGAATTATATGTCTCCAAATTTAAATTAGTGCAAATATGTGTGTTTCTCGAAAAAATCTTTCAAATCATTTCCCCATATGACTCATAATAAATACAATGTTGAAAAAGTTACTGACTTCAGCCATTTAGGTGTCACAATGGACCCTAAGCTAAATTTTAGAAATCATATAAGTCCTTGTGCTAATAAGGCATTAAATCTTGGGCTAAGGAGTTCAATAGCCCATATATTACCAAATTACTCTTGAATATGGCTCAGTTGTATGGATTGGGCACTATCAATTGTATAGTAATAAATTGGAATCTGTACAAAATCCATTCCTACCATTTGTGTTAAGAAATTTAAACTGTGTTGCGAACTTACTTAGCGTACCTAAGAACCTACCTTTTTACAAGAGCCGCTTACGGCTGATCAATCTGCTTACACATCTGTTGTAGAAAAATGCTTGGAGCTAAATTTTTAACTAAATTTATTAGAGGTGTTATCAATATCCCATTTCTACTTTGCGGGCTTAACTTTACCATCCCTTTAAGATCACATGGACACTTTAGGCCCCTTTCACTGTGTTCATGCAGAAAAAAACTTTGAAACGCACCACCCTTTTAGAGGTTTATGCAACGATTTTAATACTCATTCCGCCTGCATTGAATCCTCTCACTCGTTTTTGAGTATCAAAACCTACTTACTGACTGCTTTAAATAATTAAGTAAATTCGTTCTCCTTTTCCGCGTGTACTTTTATAGCAACAGATGAGCAAATCTGTAGCTATTTAGTGTAAGAGGCAAGAGTGACCACGACCTTCTGTGATTGCTCTCTGGTTCAGGGCAGTCCGAACAGTCACTGGTTTTCGCGTACCGGTCTGTGGGAATTTTTCGATTATCCTTCACGCCCCTCGGTAGGGTATATGAGATGTAGGTAACGCTGGGTACGCCGTTAAAGAAAACAAAAAAGTTACGCAAAGAATTTAATATTTCAACCCTTTTTTATTCCGTTAAATCTTTTCCATATACAGATACAGATATCGAGCATCACAAACTAAAAGAAATTGTACTAATTATTATATATATTTATTTATTGAATTCAGTTTAAAATAAAAATAATAATTTTTATTAAGGCTATATTTTCTAATGCATCTGAACATTAAAAAAAATTATCCATATAATATAGTACATATACTTGTATGTATATATAAGATCTATCTATAATATGTGATATAATTATCTTGGAAGACATGTTTCAACTTTTATCTTAAATTAAACACATACATATATTAAATACCTATTTATGTGTACATAGATAAGTTCCTTTGCATTTTCTTGCTACATATATTTTTACATATAAGTAAGAATTATTTTTATATAATTATTATATATTATTTTTTTAGTATATTTAAGCCGTTTTGGAAGACATTTTTAAGTTAGTTTCAGTATCTTATCTTAGTAAATAAAATATTTTATTTTCACACACATTGTTTTGGAAGACATCGTTTTCGTTTCTTATTATTATTTGTATATATTAATGTACTATAACATTCATAGTTTATATTAGATTTCCTTACAATTTAACTTCTAAATAAATTATATTTCCTCAAATACAAACAAATAAATAAAATCTCTGAAGCAGTCAGAATTTAAACCAATTGCATGAGCTCCTCCACGCCTGCGCTTCATTCGTCTATTTATGGATTGACTTTCTCGTTTATATTGCAGAATGAATTCTACTTTTGACATTCTATTCGAACATTTTGAGTTTAAAATGGCAAACCAAGCTCAAAGGCGTTAATTAATGCATTGCCCGAGTCGTAAATACCTATTACTCCAAATAAGACTCCGAGAGCGATGATGAGGTAGTCCTTAGCGATTTCCTTCTGATCCAATAAGTGGCCCTTGATTTTGATATGGAAATAGCATGGCCATATAAAACTCAGCATAGTGCCCGTAAAACTACCAATAAAACCCATTAAAATTGAGAAATGTGGAATGAAAATTGCCATCATAATCGTGGACAGAATAACGCCAACCCGAAAGCCCAAACCCCAAACTTTTAATTCCCCATCCAAATGCCATATTGTGGGAAATTTCGTTTTTGGCGGTCCTCTGAAGAAGTTCTTTTCCAGCAGCTCGCATGCAGCATAGTAGGGCAATGGATAGCTGAGCAAGGCTTTAATAACCAAAAAGAAATTCACCAAACCTTTGAAGCCTTGCGAGTGAAGATTATTTGTAATAACCTGCTGTGTATCATCTTGAAAAGTTAGGAAGCAAATATAGCCGAAGCCGGCTTTAAAAATCGCAGCTGCTATATGCGACCAATCCAACATCCAATTGAACTTGGAACGATCGATCATGCTCCCTTCTAACGATGGCAAAAATATCTGTGATGTGTATGAGAAAACAATAACGCCCAATGAAATGGGAAAGTTTTCCATATCAATGCTCCATCGTACTTTGGACCAACCCCATTCTCCAATTTCTAATATGCAATAACCCAAAATAATTGCATTAATAACAATGTGAGACATAGTACACCAGAATGACAGAGTTGATACCATCTTTAGTGATTTCAAAAAACCCATTGGCAACAAGAATATACCCACGAACATCATCCAAGACCGTGAATCAAACGAGCCTTGGGGATAAGTACCTGCCAATAAATCGCCGCACACCACTACATACAGAATACAGGTCATTAGCAACTCTATCAATTGGGCAATACTAACAGCACGAGCGCCCAGTTTAGGTCCAAAACAAACTTTTGCAATCGCAACATAACTATCTCGTACCCGAATCATTTGACCGGTGTTGGGATCAGCCTCGTATAAACATTGCACCAATACCTTTCCCGTATAGCAGCAGATGTAGGCAATGCCAACCATTGCTATGATGGCCCAATATCCTCCATGTAGCACAGCGAATGGCAAGGAGACGATGAACATTCCTTGAATGGCATTGGTGACATTCCACGCGGCCTGGAACTCGTCAATATTGGTGCCACCGCCACCTTCACCTTCACACACAAAAGAGCTGCCCTCCGATGCAACGCTCCCCTGCCTGCAAATAGTAAAAAAAATAATATTAGTTAGCGGAATAAAATTCATATATGGCAACTATCACAGAGTGTGGGACGAATATGTCACACTACATTGGTGGTTAAGGAAACGCAAAAAAGGATATTTCAATAGCTATGTCCCTGATTCGAATGTCCAAAAAAAACGCAATAAATACTGAAATTTGAATATTTTCTTTTTTAATTAAATGCTGCACTTTGTACTTTCTCTTACTAAAGGCTGTTAGCTCGTTTCGTGACTTCCAAAAATGGAATGAAGAAGCTCATATCGCAATGGAAACACTTGAGGGCTTGAATAGCGATGAAACGGAGCGACTGCATTGTTGAACTAAGGCATTCCAGAATTGAAGACAGTGAGGCAGTCAAAATTTTCAATAAAAACCAGAAATACAAATATAGGTCCTAGAGACAGCAGCGTATTAAAGCGCTTACGATAAAAGACCGTTATAAGCAGTTTGAAAACAGAAGTTTATAATTGATATCATCTCCTACTTGCATGAAAAAATACCCATATATGTATAAGTATCTTTTCCTAAAATTTTTAAAAAGTTTGGACCTTGAAGATATTTTTGCAAATGCAAACTACTTTGGTTTTCTATAGTTCACCTTATCTCGAGTTTACCGTATGTTCCAATCAACTATCAAATAAATCTCTTATCCGCACCTTGCGACCGTAAGATGGAAATGGCCAAAAATGATGCTCGTGACTTAATCGTTAGGTTTGGCTACGTTTGATTACATGTTTTTTGTAATCGCGATTTTCGGCCGAGCCCCTCCTCAATTTTGTGGGTTAGCGTTTTTATGTTTTTCCAAGAAATGGAGGGATTAAAATGTATCTGAGACGCCTCCGAACGATTGATTTTTATGAGGAGGTTTTATTTACTGCCAGAAATACCTCCGGAGTGCTTGACATTTCCTGCCGAGAAGTAGTTAGTCCAATCAGGACTCCAACTCTGACCCTTACAATGGCAGTACGCAATGCTAACCACTCGGCTAGTCCACCGCCATGCGTTTATATGAAATTTACTTTAAAAATGCTATATCGACATGTTTGCTCAACAGCGTAAGCAGGGAGAAGGTCATACATATAAACATGCATATATATATACAGGTATGACATACATATGCCCTTTAAATTTACCTAAAACCATCTGTTTGTTGATACCTTCCGTCGTATTCATTTGTGGTGAACGAAGTATTTTGATATTCCGTACTCTTATACTCGCCATTATTATCTGCATCCGTCCAACCATTAGGATTGCGAAAAGGATTCAATTCAGTCGGTCTTTCAGCGATTTGGGCTAAAATGTAAAATTTGCCGTATTAGAAATTTAATATCATAGGAAACATGTAAAAAGGAGGATAAATAAAATATCAAAATTAACGCTGAAAATTAAAGTAATTTTCATTATGCCACTTTAAGGACCCTTTTTCGAAACCCTGTTAATGTGAGGATCACGAAACAGGCCGTTCAATTTAGTGATATGGTAAAAATTTCGTTTTCATTTTCTCGACCTCCTGTTAAATGTTCATTTAATATTAGATAAGAGGTGATTGTTCTGCGAAGAGAAAGAAAGGACCAACGTAAATCAGCTGTTCCAAACGTAAATGAAGTAAAAAATATGTCGCACAGAGGCTCGTTCAAACATTTTCCCAAGTTCATGAATATAAAGTATCCTCATACGTTCCTTTATATTTACATATATATTATTGTAAAAGAAAATAAGTAATACGTAAATCAGCAAAAAACTTATTAACCTGTTAATTTTAACAATCACACACTAAAACAGGAAGTTGAGAAAACGAAGTGGTGTTTAAAAGCCCTAAGAGTTATATACATATATATATATGTAAACATCAATTTTCATGCTTATCGATCAGTGCGAAAGAATTACAGAGAAATCTTAGATACCAAATTAATTTTTATTTTATTTACAATTAGGGTATTCACAAGGTGTCATGTTGTGTCTTATCGTCATATTGTCATATTTTTTATGACTATCGTAAGAGTACTGTTACAAGATAGCGAGGTATGTTTTTAAGTGTGCTATTCTATAAACTGTATCTGTTTACTTCTTTTTTTGTTGACGTTTAACGGTCTTAAATAAATTTCATGATTTTCTTTACTTATATGAAAGGTAACCACGATAGTATTCAAATGATTTTATTACAATGTAAACCAAAACTTCGCGTGCTCGCAAGTGTCGTATTTTTTTGAGACATGAGACAAAGCTTGTGAATTGCCTAATTGAAAAGTTTTGTATTTGTTGTAAAATATTATTTTAATTTTAGAAAAACGAAAATTTATGTTTTGAAAAAGAAATTGGTAGTACAAAAATAAAGCAAAGGTCAAAAAATCTTTTTATGTCGGATGATTAATATTTTTGAAAGAAATTTTGAGTAAAACTACCTTTTTTTTGTATCACATTAATAATAATAAGTATAATTGTTGAAGAATATGATCAGTAGGATGAGTTGAAAACTTAAAGTGGTTATAAATTGTAGGTAGTTTTGCATAGTCAAAGGTGTAGCATTTCAAACGGCTGAAAGTCGGATACTAGCAACGGTAAAGTAGTAGCTTTTTCGTCATCTTCTGTACATGCTCTGCACTCTGCCATTCTCATTTTTCGGGTGACCTGGGACGCGAATTATATTTAGTCTATTTTCCCGCAATAGTCTGTTAATCGTCTCTATGCATGCGCAGTTGGACTTTGCTTTGCCATACTTAATGGCCACAAGGCTGTATAATCTGATAAATTGTCCCAAAGAAGCGGTTGCCCATTTGCAACTTTCAATAATGCCCATAGAGTTAAAGTCGATATGTTTTATGCTATTTTGGTTGTGGGGTGGTCGCAGAAGAACTCTGCTCCTGTGCCTGACTCACCCGGATATACTCTACAGTTTGGAGGATATTTCATTGTTACCTCATAGTTTGATCTTTTCTCTCAGCCCTATCAGCTGCTATATCAAGTTATCTCTCCATTGCCCGATAGTTGTACGTACATATGTAGTTTATAATAAATATTAAGTTTTATGTGTAATGCACTTGTAAAAATTAAAAGAAAAAAATCTTTATTTCCTGCACTGCAATATAATCTCCTTTCCATCATTCCGAGTTCTCTGCGCGTCTTCTGTTTCACTTACCTTGATATTGGCCTTCGCCAGTCCCTGCATTCAACATTCCTTGCTGATGTGAATTTAAATTTTGCTGCGCTGTTGCTGTTCCCGTTGTATTTCCTGGCTGCTCGTAGTCCTTCTTCTCGGGTATATGCTGACGGGCTGTCTGCACGGCAACATTTATAATATTTTTAATTGGCGGCAATGGTGTTGACTTCAACTTATTAATAAATGACATTTTGGCTAATTGATACCGAGACAATAATGGCGGCAGTCGCTGCTGATGGTGAGGATGACGGCGACGGTGGCGGTGGCGGTGGCGAAAATGTCAAAATACAATTACACTATGAATATGAGATGATGTGCTTGGATTATCGATTTTATTAGGCAGACGGATAACACTGCAATTTTTTCACTCTCTCCAATATTAGTAATTCATTAAGATGCCCGGAGACCACTATTCCCCTTGCAGAATTTGACGTACTGAATTCCAGTTAGAAAAATTTATGTAATCAGTTCCAATGTTCATCGCGTAGATGGATGCAAGGGTGCATAGATGCGATCTTTATTTTATTTGTTGAAAATGCAACAAAAAAAAAAACGAAAAAACGAAAAATTATGAAAAATTTTGAGATATACAATATACTATATGGAATTATGTATGTCTTCAATGAATTAGCAGATACGCATTTTTTACACAAATACTATGAGCCATACAAATGCAGCATGATGCCGTTTATTTGTTAGACATTAAGATTCATACATACGAGTATATGTTTTAAATGCACATTAGAATTTTTTATATAATTTACTTGCTATGCTTTCACGTATTACAAACAACTGCCTATTTCCAGAATGAAATTAAAATAAAATCACTACGAATTTATGTAACACAAATATTTTTACGATAACTAACTGTAGTACGGTTCAAAGCGAAATAATGATTTATCCTTCGCACTACTCGAAATTAATATTTGCGCTTGCGTCAGAAATTGTATGTATTTGGCAGGACGTCTGACAAGCTGCTGTGTGGATGCTGTCAGCATCGCCTTTATGTCCTTTTTGACATGAAAATTGTACAATATTGCATTACATGGGTTTTTGAATAAATTACCCTTGGAAACAACTAAAATTACGGTAAAAGTATAAATAAATATTTTTTTCTGAAAGAGTACTTTGTACGTAAAAGGAAACCAAGGGAGGTGACAGTATGGTTCATATTTACATACATTTTATTTTTTACGTACTAAATTAGCTTAAACACCTCGTAAATGTGGATTTCGTTACATTCTATCTATTCAAAATTTTGTCAAAAGTATAAAAATTTTCAATCTCTGATTTCCTGTGGCCGATTTTTTCTGTCACGTCGAGATTTTTCGTTGACCTTATTCAAACTTCGTAAATTAATATTTTTTAATTTGTTATGCACAATTTTTTTCTTCTGTTATGCACAATTTTGCCTAAATACCGGAGACAATTTGGTATCAAAACAAGCGAATCAAACGATTTAATTACTGTAACTAACAAAGTTAAATACCTTGGAATTGCTTTAGACAAATTTTTATGCTTCAACGATCGCTAAACCAAGCTAACCAGACATTTTTTGTGTACAAAAAATGTTCTCTTAAAAAAAAATTATTCCAAAAAAAAAAATAAAATTATTGTGTACCAATCACTAATACAACCAAAAATAAGTTATGGATACTCTATGTGTTTCAATATATCTCCTTATTATATGGAACGCATCAGGAAATTTGAGCGAAGAATACTTAGAGCTTGTACTGCTCTTTACAGAACATCAAGTAGCAACTATTGTACTTAAAATTTATATCAGATAAAAGGATATGATGTCCCTGATTATGAACCTTTTAACCCGTTGCCTGGAAAAAGAAACCAACATCTTCATAAAAGCACCTTTCTATTGTGAAGACAGATATACTGAAACGGCAATAAACAAAGGTTTTATTCCACCCGAAATATTTTTATATCGAGATAAACAAATAATGAAGGTGCGCCAATTATATATCATACACCTATATATAGAAGAGTGAACGAAAAAATTATTTGTGAACCTACTCTTACAGAGTTTAATAATTGGTTTGATAATTCATTATCAGAAAAAGACAAATTCGAATTTGACAGATGCAAAAAAAAAATTGGTGGTTATCACAATAATACCCCAACCCCTCATTCCCCACCTTCCTAATATCCAGATTTCCCAATTTATTTTATTTTCTGTATGAAGTTAATAAGCAATGTTTTTACATATTTTTCACTGCAAACTCATGTACATACATATAAATTCAAGTGTAATTAAATTGAATTTAGTATTCTTAAAAGGAGCTTCACATCACATCAAGGTTCTTGAGAGCTCGACTAGAGGCTTTGAAACATTGTACTATTACTTAATATTAAAACAATTTGTTTATTTATGTGACTAATTTAATAATAAAATATTCAAAAAAAAAAACTTCTTAATGAATTTTGATTGAAAAATTTTACTTTAAACTGCAATTTCGCTAAGCATCCCTTTTAATTTTAACTGCCCTGTTTTGGAGTGAGTTTAAGTAATTTTAGTTCGATTAAAATTCATAATACTTCGGTTAGCGGCGCCACCAGCAGCCCGAACTACTTGATCAGGACATAAATACACACATTCAAAGCAGGATATGGAAAATCGTTCGAAAAAAGTTGAAGTCAATTGACCTAGGAATCTTCAATAAATCTCTCTCAAAGAAGAGAATGGCGGTTGACGAGTTCTGCACAACGAAGTCTTTTACAATTCTGACGGACCCTTTGGTATAACTCAGAGTCAGTTTGTGTAGCCAAATAAATTTTTCAGGGATACCTAATTGTGATTCTGCGTGACGGGTGCTCAACCCAGCGCTTTAAATTCAGCCATTTGTTGCAAGACGGTCGCCCGCTCGAAGCTGTGGTGAAGAGACCCTGCAGGTAGACTTACGCAAACCCTTAAACCAAATATGTTGGAGTGGCTTCACCGAACCTTCCTCTCGGTTAGCCCTTTCACAACGCACATCGGGTTGGTTAACGCATCTTATATTATATACTGTTATGATATTTCTTCTTTACTGGCGTAGATACCGATAATGTTAACCCCATTCGGCCAGTCATTCCTCCTTTCCGATGTTTAGAACCAATTAGAAATTTGTAGTAAGTACAGCCAGGTTCCTCTCCATCTTGTATTTCAAACGAAGTGAAATCTTCCTCTTCCTCTGCTTCCACCGGCGCGTACTACCCCGAAAACTTTGAAAGCTAGAGTATTTTATACATCCGCTGTCTCTTGATTCGCAGTAATATGTCGTCTGCTGTGCTCGCCGTATCTAACGCGTAAAAAACCATAAATTACGCAAATACTTTCTCTCGAAGACGATCTAATACCGACTCATTAGATGTTGTCATCACCCAGGCCTCCGTAAAATGAAGAGGGACACGAAAAGTTTGTTCTTTGTTCGTCGAGAGAACACTTGTTGGCAAAAGTGATTCTGGGTTGTCTTTGTAGACTGACAGTATAGTTGATGTTAACGAAGATTCCATTATATACGAAGTCATCTACGACTAAATGGACGTGAGAGTCGGGTCACGATTGCGACGACTGTTTGTTTGATGACAGAAGGCCTAACACCTACCTTCTTTAGTCGCCCAGTCTGCAGATTAACACCAAAAGCCGAAGGTACAAAGGCATCGTAGTTGTTGACCGAATTCTTTTCGTTTTGAATATAAACGAAAATAAAATTCATTTAAAACAATTGATTTTTTTCATTAAATTAAATTAAACATTTTTTATTATAAAACTTGAACCTTTAGGGAGAAATGCCTCAAGCATGCATTGGACGTATGTACGGTGTTATGAATGGTCAGCTGGCCTAAGTTATTGTGTGAGTGCGACCCCCCTGCGAGTTAGGGGCTCAAGAATTTACCTGCAGTAAGGCATGCCTGTCGTAAGAGGCGACTAAAATTCAATAGTTCCCGCGACAGTCGGGCCTTTATACCGGAACGACCCGAATTTTTATCCGGCCAAGGACTTTCACTCCCGCAACATTCCCCAAAAATTACTTTGGGGAATAATTTTGCGGTTACAACAACAACAACATTGTGTGTGTGCGACTTTATATGGAAGGTCGAGAAACAAAGACATTGAGGTATTCGGCAGTACTTTCACTTTCAGGTAGAACGAGGGCGAATGTTAAGTGTCATGAACATGTTTGGCTTGACAGTTAAGCTGGAAAAATATCAAATTAAAAATTAAAAATAATTTTGAATGCTGTTCGGACCACTCGTCTATCGCGAACCCTAAAATTTTGCTAATGGTAAAAGGCCGCTTATAGAGGTACAGGCAATGTAGGCTCTCTGTTAAAGGTCAGGACGACAAAAAGTCACTTATGCAGTTGTTCTTCCCATCCAAAGTATACTGCGCTGTTGGAAGAGGGGATCGGCAGGATCAGGTGTTAACAGACAATTTGTATTGGCATGACTTTTAGATATAAATTCATGAATTCTAGAAACGTCAAATAATAAGCTGCATTCAAGTTTTTGCGTTTACTTTAAAACAATGGGCAGTCAAAATATAAAAAGCTTATTTGCGAGATACTTAAGTGAAAAACAAAGCAAAATGAGTTAATTCGAATTAGTTCAAAATAATAATAAATGTGAACTGTTCCTCCTGTGATGACTCGGTAAACGAAATATATATCATTGGAAGGGGGCCAGCTTCTGAATTTTCTCCTGCATTCTGAAATATGTACAATATATACGTACAAACGCATTTTATTGATAAGGAATGAGGCGCGATGGAAAATCCTGTCGGAAAGTCAAAATTCACTTGAGTTTTTTCTCTGAAACATTTTTAGTCAGTCAATAAGAAAATGCTTAATATTTCTATATTTCATAGATTTTTAAATTTCATAAAATAAAAACGAACGAACAATACCTCGTCAGCATTTTTGGATCGCAGTTTTTTCGATAAACTCAAGTACAGTAGTGGAACGCAAGACCCCTCCCTTTCTTCACACAGCCTTTGCTGTAATTTCTCCCTGCCTGTCTGATGGAATCTGATTTTTCTTCATACTTCTTTTGGATTCCTACTACGTATTTATTAAATATATTTGGCAATTATTTTTGAGGCACTGGTTGGTTCGATTCCTGCCAGTCTTATGAGGCCGTTTAGTGATCTCCGCAACAACTTTCACTTTTACCATTTTTCTTTTTTGTGTAACAAAATTTTCAATTTATACAAACAAATAGGCCTTTCGTTCACTAGAAACTTGGAACGAAAAAAATATATTATATTTAAAATTAATTACGTTTTAAAACACTTTTTTACAATAATTCATTTTCAAATATATATTATATTAATAAATATTTTGGACAGTTATTAAATCATGCTTTATGTACAACTTATTAATTTATAATAAACATTTATTTAATCCGTCGAAAAAAACATCGCTTTCTCTCACGGGGGCATAGTGTATGCATTTAAACTAACCCCTGCGCCCCCCTTTTGACCGACTTACGTGGATTATGGATGCTCCTCACTTGCACTTACCATTCTGCGATTACTTACTCATATTATTTTAATTTACCAAAAATAAAATATCTAATCTTTTGTCGATGGTGTCAACAACTTCAAAATATTCGTCGTTAGCAAGAGATTGAGTAGTTATCGACAACAGCTGATCAAGCAATAACGAGTTTCGTTAAAACAGGCATAAGAAATCATGATTCGTTTCAGGTCGTCGAATCCGACAAGACTTTTGTGATTAAAAAGTTGAAAGTGGATGCGTCTTGGATTCTTAGTTCATATAAATTCATTCAAAATGCAAAATACAATGTGCTAAAAACTCGACGATTGTGGTTATACACGTATAGTGCTGAAAACAGAAACCCAGAAAAGAACCAACATTTTTACCGACGAGCCAAATTCGACTGATAAAGACTATACGCCGAACACGGTTTGCAAAACTTGCTATACAAATCTTTTAGACTGTATGAAAGGAAGAAATAAAGCCTGTGTACGCTATGTGAAGCCAGTAATGTGGACGGAAGCCAAGGACATGATGAAACTAGATGTTAACCAGAGAACTTATAATAACGAGAAGCAGAGAACTTATAATAACGATAAGGTGCAAATTCGTTGCAACATCGAACTTGCTTCAAACATTTTCTGAAAAACTTTGGGAAAGGGATTCACCACACCGGGAAAGGGATTCACCATGATTTCTATAACAGCCACTGATAAAGTTAGCAGAGATCGGAATGAATTTTCTGCTAAAAAAAAGAGAATCGTATTAAATTATTTTTTCAATTTATTGCATACCTTTCAAGTGTGTTAAATATGTATTTAATATAATAGAAAAATATAAAAAATATTAAAATATTAAAAAAAAATTATTATTAAAATCATTAAATATATTAAAACTTATTTAAAAGGTTCGATGTAAAGAAATAAGTTTCAAAAATATTAAAAATTAAAATATTATAAAAAAAATTCTAGACAGTTTTTCTTTATGCTAAACTGTCAAATCTGTTAGTTTACAGCCAAATTTTAACAGAGTGGTGAATCCCTTTCCCGAGATTTTCTAGCTCTGCAGAAACTTCAATCGAGCATAGAACGAAAAGTCAATTGCACCTTCTCGTTATTATAAGTTCTCTGGTTAACAATGCTTCAACTCTGCTGTTGGATTGAACAAACCCAAGTTAAGAAAGAATAATGTGAAACCACTGCCACTGCCATAGTTGGTGTAGATCTACGCAAGGTGTTGGTGATCGATCAAGCAAAATACATAAACAAATTTGAAAATTAATACACCGAAGATTTCAATTTGAATAGATATGAAGAAAAGATGGATATGCCAATAAATGTTTTCGCTGAGCGTGATCCAGATGAAGCTATCATACATATAGGCATATAACGTATAAAATGAATTGATAACGGTTAAGAAAGTAAATTGAAATATTAAGAATGCTAAAAATCCACTTTGAGCTAGAAGCGAGGTACTTTTCTCAGATTCTTAAATGAGGTAAGAATGTAAACGAGTGATACAGAAATTCAAGATTTGTCGTCTGCATTCAACTACGGAAAACGGGGGGGTCTTGTCAGAAATTTAGTGCTGCATAGTGCAATCAGACACGAGCATATGTTAGTTTCCGATGAATAAAATACGAAAGGATACCAAGCATTATCATGCAACTATGTTCGAATGCAATACCGATTCCAACCAAAGCAGAGGAGAACAGAGGGACTTAGGTCATGATTTAAGTCAAAATGGAGAGTAAAAACGACAAGAGCGCCGCAAATGATCGAAAAACAATACAGGTTACACAACAGCTTGCAAACGGCATACGAAACGACAGATTCTGATTTATATTCCAGAAAATGAATCAGAAGAACGAACGAACAATACCCTTTAATACCCTAGATCCACAGCTTTCATTTGAACACATTATGATCATTCTGAAATTGGTATTTAATAATGTTAATCCTCTACATGGATGGGAGAGATTATCGATAGATATTTATAAGAAATTTTAAGCTTACGAAATTGGTCCATTTTCTGAGATAAAACCACCCTACTATTTTGAATATGGTTTTGCGGATATGGCATTACCAGCAAGGAAGACCTATAACAGTTTTTATTTAATATTTGCACATAGAATAAAATTTATTTTCATACATAAAATATTCAAACTGCACTGGATGGTTTCGGGATTTAATTACTGTAGCAGGTTTTCCTCACTCCAGCCAATATATTACTAATCTCGTCATCTTTACGCGCGTCGAATATTCGTTCGATATTTCCAACGGTGACAGCACTTCCGGTGCCATTACGGGCGTACGCTGTGATCGGCAACTCTTGCATTGGTGTGGTCATTATGCCGATGGCACTATTCTGTACACTGTTGGACGTCAATGGTGAGCTGGTGGGAACAATAGCGCCCGTTGTGCTTGTGGCGGCAATAAAATGGTTATAAGGTGGATAACCGTTATGTAATTGTTGACTGTGTACTTGTTGGTGTGGATGCGGATGATGCGAGTGTTGATGATGATGGTGATGGTGATGATGCGGATGAGTATATACTGAAGATGTTGGCTGCTGTAAAGGTAAAGCTAGTTGAAGAGGAAAGGCTAACGATGTTGGCGGACTACACGCATTTGAGGCAGCTAGCGTATAAGGCAACTGAGTATAATAATTGGAGCTGGCCGCCGAAACAACCAAAGGATTGTTGTATGCTTCAAAGTCATCATAATTGTGATTCGTGTCCGGATACTTGGCGAATTTCATGCCTACATCACTTTTGTCCTGTTCTAAGCCATTGTCACATATTACAGGCGAAAAGTCAGTTTCAATTCCACTCGAGTATCTTCCGAATTCATCGAATTGCACACTAGGCGCATAAGAGCTGGGCGGTGTTGCAAAGCTGTCTGTGGTATTGGCAATTGTGTGGTGAAGTACGCCGGAGCTTGGGATTGCGGTCTCTTGTGAATATATCGACTGATAGGTAGGCTCGCAGTTAGCGCTGAGGGTGCTTCCGGTTGAGGTGGTGGTATATGTGGAGGCCACATCACAATTTGATAGAGATTGGTTCGAGTGTGTATTGCGTATTGATGGGCTGTCCGAAGCGGAGACCGGTGGATAGAATGTGCCTTTTACAGAATAGCCGTGATCTAATAGTCCCCGACTGTTGCACGTCACATACATGCCACGGGTAGTAATGACGGCTTTTGGTGTCGATGTCAATGGATACGCTGCGAAAGAGCTCTGCTGAGTTTTTGGCTCCATTTTGCCGTATCTAGGTACTTTCATTGCATCTTTATCGGAATGTTGGGAACTAGACGATTGATTCCGATTTGATTTCGTTCCTTTGGTGCCCACCGAATGACTACTGCCCTTAGAGCTCGATTTCTGTGCATCTATTGTTGTAGAATCATTACTGAGAAGGGAGGGTTGACAATTTGTGGTGTCCAAATGCTCGATGGTATCAGAGTTGCTGCAACAATCGACGGTAGTCGATGGAGAATAGTTGGATCGCAAAGCTTGCTCATAAATACTTTGATTTGTGGAATTAGACGGTTGTGTTTGAAAACGTGTCGTTTGACTTTCTTCCGCTAATTGATTGAATGATTGTCCGATGACTGGGGAATTTCTATGCTTCTGAACTACAGTGTTGGACTTATTGGCGGTGGGAGTTTGATTAGCGGAAGTACTTTGGTCCTTGGTAGTTGGTTGTACAGTCCGTACTTTCGATTGCTTCTTACGTCGGGGCCGATATTTATAGTTGGGGTACTCGGTCATGTGTATGACTCGCAGCCGTTCTGCTTCTTCGACATAGGGCCGTCTGTCCTGAGGAGTTAGGGAGCGCCACTTTTTACCTGCAAAATAAAAAATATGTTTCATTGAAGTCTTACATTGATCTCAAAATTTAAAGTGTAAAAAGCTGCCATCACGATTTAAGCTCTGTGCACATATACAAATGCTGCCCACTTGAAAATTCAGGCGAACAATGGGGATTTATATAATAATCAATTATTAATTACCTAACATCTTGCTAAGATCCGCATTGTGTAGGTCCGGATTTTCGTCGGCCAACTTTTTTCGCTCTATTTTCGCCCACACCATAAATGCGTTCATTGGTCTTCGTATTCTAGTCTCTTTGGCACATTTTGTAGCATTGACGCCGGTGCGATACTTTGCTTCGTTCACTTTCTGCTGATGCTGCTGCTGCTGCTGCTGCTGTCGATCCAAGTATGAACAATTTATTCCGCAAATGTCGTCCTTGTAGTCGCTATAGTTCCATACGGGAGTCTCTGTTCCAGTTGTACAATTTTCCGCTTCGTGCACTGGTACATTTACGGCCACCATATTAGGATGGCTAAGAAATTTATTTATCATGACTTGATTATTTGTAAGTAGTGGAAGATTGGTGTTCAATAGAGATGATGTGGCGGCCAGAAAAGGTGCGGGGTAAACTGTGTTCGCTTCGCTTTGCTGTAAAGTTCTATCAATGACTTCTGTCTCGTAGGTGGACTGATGTACGGCCGGTGAATGCAGGCTGGGTGAAGAATGTTCACTATCATGTCTGACGCTGTACGAATCACTACCTGCGATGACCATATTTTGCTCCTGCAGTTCGTGTGCGAGACTGTATTCGGTTATTCGTGACATAAATGGCTGATATTTTTTATGGCTGAAAGAAATAAATATGTTTCATGGCATATTTTTACAAATAAGCTAATATGAAGAGAAGATGAATTATGTTACCATACAATTTTTAATATTTTTTGGTCATACATACATACATACGTATCATGCGGTTGTGCCGCATGGTAATATAATTCTCACCTTTTTCTTCTCTAAATTATTTTTAGTATATTAAGAGGAATTTTTTATAAATATAGTAGGAAAGAGCCTTGGTAAATGTGTGAGGAAAAGGTTGCTTAGGCAGTGAAATATGCATTCTTCGAAAAAAGTCATCAGAAAAAAGTAAATTAAGTCCGTACGTTGTAAACGCTCGTCAAAGATGGACACCAGCAAAGAGAAAATTCGTTATATTTTAAAATTTTTCTTCGATCAAGGCGAAAAAGCTGCCAAAGCGGCTGAAAAAGTTAATTTAGTTTATGGGACCGATACTGTAAACGAGCGTGTAGCACAAAAGTGGTTTGCTAGGTTCCGTTCCGGTAATTGCGATGTCAAGGATGCACCACGCGTCGAGAGGCCTGTCGTCGAAAATTACGATAAAATCATGGAAATAGTGGAAACAGGCTGTCACGTGAGCACTTGTTTAATTGCTGAGGAACTAAAGATAGGTTAGAGAACCGTTTGGATTCAAAAAGAAGCACGAGCAAACGCAAAAAAACATGGTAGACCGAATTTCCATCTGCGAATCGCTGCTGAATCGCAACAAAACCGACCCATTTCTGAGGGTTTTGCTGTGTGTTTGGTGGGATTAGCAAGGAATCATTTACAACGAGCTGCTCCCCATGGCCAAACGCTTAACTCGGCCTTCTATTGCCAACAAATGGACCGCTTTAAGGCAGCACTCATCCAGAAGAGGCCATCTTTGATCAACAGAGGCCGAATTGTGTTCCATCAGGACAACGTCAGGCCATACACATTTGGTGACGCGCCAGTAGCTCCAGGAGTTCGGATGGGAGGTCCTAATGCACCCACCTTATAGTGCGAACCTGGCACTAAGTAATTACCGCATTTTCCTGTTCATGGCGAACGCGCTTAATAGTGAGAAGTTGGCCTCAAGAGAGGCTGGTGTAAATTGGCTCTCCGAGTTTTTTGCCTATAGGGACGCAACCTTCTACGAGAGGGGTATAATGAAGTTGGCATCTCGTTAGCAACAAGTTTACGAACAAAACGGTGCATTTGATATTAAATCGGACAAATGTACACAAAGTTATCATATTTTGAAAAATCAATAAAAAACCGAACGAACTTTTTACGAACTTTACCAATATATACATACATATATATATAGGCGTAGGCGATTTTAGGCCGAACTTTTCCGTCAAATTATGATAAGCGACTTTGTTGTTTTCCCAACAGTTTAAGCTAACTCTTTTCATGTCAGAAATGAACACAAAGAAGTTGATAAAGGCCATGGACGACATTAAGAAATAAATCGTCTATTCGGAACAGTTGCATTCCCTGGAAAATTTTGTTTTGAAAAAAAAAATAATAAATGAATAAACATCTTTATTAATTTCAAATTATATAATATATATATGTAAATATATATTATAGTTTAGTTTGCGAATTACTATACAGTTCAAAGGCCAACATATTATAAAGCAGAAAAGATCATGATGCACAGCTATTTTTGGAGGTACTTAGGAAAATATTGGATAACGAGACAGCAGTTCGACAACTTACATCGACATATTGGAATAGAAAAAGTCAAAAGAACAAACCGATGTGGTTTATTTCCTTAGAAATCTATCGACTTTTAAGAAATAATTTGGCCTTAAACGGATGCCATTCACTAGAAAAGAATAGCTCATGTTTTCCTTTAGTTCATAGAAGAATTATTTATTTTTTTTATAAAAATGAGGTCAACTTTTGTCGTTGATCGGGAATGTACCGTGACTTCAATAAATCAAAAACTGCACAATTTAACTGTGAACTTTCCTACTTTGTACTTAATTCAGGGTTTTATGCTTGTTTTAAGAGGATTTTAGAAAGATGAAATTACTACGGCAGTGAACTAAGTTTTTTGTATTCACTGTGCGTAGAAATTGTTAAAATTTCTTTTTAGTTTATATGTATGTATACACACGTTTGCATTGATTGCTTGAATTTCATTGGATTTTCTATTTGTAAACATGAAAATCATCACAATTGTGATTTGGTGATTGTGGCTTTCGCGAAAAAAAGAGTGGAACAGAGAGTTTAAATGTTTGTGAAAGCCAAAGCATTTTCTATGATTTTGAAAATCTCTACGCAGAAGCATATATATGGTTGTAATTATTCTCCTGCTTTCACCTTCATGAATTCGTCTTGCCAAATTCGAACAAGAAAGGGCAGCTGTTATTGGTCATCCCGAGTCATTTTATACATTTCGTGATCATAACAAATTTATGGTATTTTATTTTAGGAGCAAATATCATATTTAACAAAACTAGTTTATGAAGCTTCCTAATTTCTAGGATTATCGGTGTCACTGAACTCTTTCTCTTCTCCTTCTGTTACTAATATACCTCGAACAAAGGTTACTATCCCATTTCATGTATGAGTATATGAAAGGTATACAAATCACCCTACTAATCGAGTGGTTAGACTGAGAAAATTGTAGAGAGACTCCGACGAGGCATATGGGTCTGATGGTGAACAAGGGCAAGACGAAGTATCTCCTGTCATCAAACAAATAGTAGTCGCATTCGAGTCGCTGTTGACAACCATAATATTGAAGTCGTAGATAATTTCGTCTATCTTGGAGCCACTATTAACATCAACAACAACTCCAGCATTAAAAGTAAGTAAGTCGATACAGTAACTGCAGGAGGAAGCAGGTGAAGACATCCTCTCCGTTATAAAGACCAAAAGAAAATGATCTGGTTGTACTTCGTATTTCCAATTGGCGGCAATAAAACGAAAAGAAGAAATTAATGGCGCAATATTATTAATTCGACTATAATCGTTGTCTACGCCAGTTTGTATAGTTATATACTTATTTTATTAAGATATACTATTGGGTTGTCCAAAAAGTAATTGCGGATTTTTTAAAAGAAAGTAAATGCATTATTAATAAAACCTAGAATGAACTTTTATCAAATATATAATTGCCATTTTGTTCGATAACCTTTTGCCATCTTCCTGGCAAATTTAGTATTCCACGCTCATAGAACTTCTAGCCTTTATCTGCAAAAAACTGAACCAAGTGCGATTTTATAGCCTCATAGCCGAAAGTTTTACCATTTAAGGAGTTCTGCAAAGATCGAAATAAATGGTAGTCTGATGGTGCAAGGTCAGGGCTATATGGTGGATGCATCAAAAGTTCCCAGCCAAGCTCACTCAGTTTTTGGCGAGTGACCAAAGATGTGTGCGGTCTAGCGTTGTCCTGGTGGAATATGACACCTTTACGATTGACCAATTCTGGTCGCTTCTCCTTGATGGCTGTATTCAATTTGTCCAATTGTTGACAGTAAACATCCGAATTAATCGTTTGGTTCCTTGGAAGCAGCTCAAAATATACGACACCCTTCCAATCCCACCAAACAGACAGCATAACCTTCTTTTGGTGGATATCAGCCTTTGAAGTGGTTTGAGCTGGTTCACCATGCTTGGACCATGATCGTTTTCGACTAACGTTGTTGTAAACAATCCATTTTTCATCTCCAGTTATGATTCGTTTTAAAAACGGATCGAATTCATTGCGTTTAAGGTGCATATCACAAGCGTTGATTCGGTGTGTTAAATGAATTTCTTTCAATACATGTGGTACCCAAATATCAAGCTTTTTCACCAGTCCAAGACTTTTTATGTGATAATGAACGGTTGATTTTGGTATATTTAACTTCTCTCCTATCTCACGCTCAGTTACATGACGATCCAATTCGATTAATGCTTTGATTTGGTCATCATCAACTTCATTTGGCCGACCTGAACGTGGCTCATCTTTAAGTGAAAAATCTCCAGAACGGAATTTGCGAAACCAATTTTGACACTGTCTTCCTTTTAAGGCTTCATCACCATACACATCTCGTAACTTTTTAGCAACCTGCTCCGCGTTTTTTCCTTTACGGAAATAATAAAGTAAAATATGACGAAAATGCTCCTTTGTGGGCTCCATATTAAAATTGACGCCAAACAAACAAATGTAAACAAAATTTTGCGCACTTTTTTTCTAGAGCAAGCTAACAGTAACAGCTGATGACTGGCGGAAGAAAGAATGCAATTACAGAGTCACAAGCCGTTGAAAAAAATTGTCAACGCCGACAATATGAAAAATCCGCAATTACTTTTTGGGCAACCCAATAGTACAAGACTATACGTGCAATAGATAGGAACTGATTGTTATAATATGGTGCGAGGTCCGGACTATAAGGTGGGTGCACAAGCAAGCCCTCGGAGCTTCTAGCGAAGTGTGTGGCCAAAACTCCGTGGAAACTCTTGTCAGTCGATTAAGGAGATTCGACGAGATTTGAAAACCCTTTTGACCCGTTTGAGCAGATTCACTTTAGCAAAAGTAAACATTCAGAAATAGGCAAATTTTTCTCGAAAAAACAAAGATTTCAAAAAGGTGAAATAAAAAAGTTGAAAATACTACGGCTGAGAATTCAAATTTTTCCATTTATTGAATGTGAAGGTAATCAAAATAATTTTTTAACTTATATTTTGTTAGCTTAAATTTCAATTTAGTTTTTATTGTTGAGCATGCAAATTTTGAGAATTGTAATTTTTCTACTTTTTCCTAATATTGGAACAAAGCATGCAAATAATCAATGATAATGTTCGCAAAATTTTTCTGTTTAATTCGATAATTATTCTCATATTCGACATGACTAATATCAAAAAAAAAAATATATATATATATATATAACATCTTAAATTAAATAACAAAAAATAATGTTGCTAAATTTCCGTCAAGCCTTGGCAAAGAATGTCATCCCCTCCAAGTGTATTTCTGACATGAAATGGAAGCTTTTGATAAAAATCCATCAGTCTCTCGGAGTCGGCTTA